ACCCACAGAGAACCTTGATGTAAGACCCAGGGCATGTTATTGCTTTGAGGTCTGCGGGTGGAAAAAAAGAAGGGACCCCGGGGAAGTGCCTGGGCATGCGGCTCTGCCTACGCTGGGGGATGAGGAGGGTGCTGGGGAGCATGGCTTGCTGGCAGAGAGCTACCAAGTTCTCATGCGTGAACTCTGAACCTGCTCTCTGAAGATGTAGAGACTGCAAACCTCTCCTGTGTGATTTTACCCAGCTGAAGGATGATAGGGGCAGTTTTGCCAGTGCCTCTGAGTCTCTGGTGCCACAGCCCCCTCCCCAGGGCTGGCATCCCCGCAGCACCCTCTCCACTCACCTGTGTGCCGGTCGGTGGGATGGGTGGCTGGTGGCCGTTCAAGGGCACGAGGCCGGCACAGCGTGGGGCAAGCAGCTGGTCATGGGCTGAAGCCTGCGGGGCTGAGCACAGGGAGCTGATCCTGCCTCCTCGAGGCGCTTCCCCTGGGGCTGGAGGAAAGTGAATGATGCGGAGGGGCTGGCAGCACTGAGAAAGGGGACAGGCCCCCCCACGGCTCAGCTCCTCCGCCCTGTAGGGAGTGGACGAAATGGCTGGAGAGGGCCGAGCCGGAGGGCTGTGGGGCTGCGTAAAACGCCACCGCAGAAATTCACGGCTCAGGTTACCGGCTAGATAAATATAGTGTCTTTATCTGACCTCACAGGGCACCGAAATGCTCCTCTCACATTCCAGCTCTGGGGAGGCTTAAAGGGGACATGAACCCGAGGGGGCTGGTGACCCATAGCAAGAGGGTGCTGGGAGGGCAGGCTGCGGAGGCAGGGGCGGCTGTGAGATTGAAGAAGGATGACTGAATGTAAGTGTGAGGTGGGGAGAGATTTGGGGAGGGAGATGGAGGTCCAGGAGGGAAAAGATGGACAGAGGGTTAAGAGAGGGAGTGGGGTGGGACACAACCTGATGTGGGGGTCAGGAAGGCAGAAAGAGAGGGTGCTCGTGGCTGCCAGTAAGGTCTGGAGCAGAGCATCAAGGTGAAGGGAGGAGGCGGTCTGGGTTTTGCCTCTCTTGGGGCAAGCCTTAGGGAGAAGAGCCCCCTAATCCTGCAGCAAAGGTGGGCATGGGGCAGCCGGTGTGGGCACAGGAGCACCCACCCCTCCATAGGGACACCCTGGCACCACTTCTCAATGCCTGACCCACCCAGGGTGGCATGGCCTCGCAGTACACGGGAACCTGGATGGCCGTGACTCAGCGAGCACCTGCCGAGGATAATTAGGAGGGATGCAATTATGGTGGCATTTTCCTCCCTCCCACCTGGCTCCAGCCCTTAAACAGGGAGGGCCGTGCAAGGGATGCGTCTGGGCGTCACTTTGGGAGGCTGCTACAGGGTCACCAGTGGTGTTAAGGGGTGGTGACAGGGCTGTCACGGAATGACACAGTATCTGACCAATAGAGGTCAGTTCAATAAAAGTCAGGAGCAATTCGACTAGTCTACCAGTTTCCCAAGAAAGACAAGACCCTTGTATCCGACCCGCCTGCCCACCCTGGACAGCCCGCTAAGTGGGAGGGTGTTTGCCTGACCTATTCAGGGACCTCGCCAGCAGCACAATGAGTCATCCTCCCTTATATTAAAGTTTCCGGAAACTTATATTAAAACAACAAATTTTAATACTGATGCTCGTGACAGGATACAGATTCAAAGATAGCCGGTGATAGGGACTGACTGCGAAAATAGATTTGATTTAGAACCGTATAGATTAGAACTGATCAGTGATAATACTAAATAGCTAGCAAAATGTTAGTAAGTAAATGCGCATAACACAGAGCTCTCACTCAATAGGCGTCCCAATTGTGGGGGGGAAGAGAGGTTCAGCCCATCGACTGATCCCAGACGTTTCAATGGAAGTCTTCACCCCTAACATCCTCCTTCTCTTTAACTATTTTATACCATTTCTTTACTTTTAGGTGGAGCTTTGAGCGACTCTAGTCATACATATTACAATGACATTATAGTGAGCAAAGTTCAGCTTTAGGGCACGATCCCATTGTTGTTGAGGAGGCAGTTGCGATCTGTTTTTCTTGACAGCAGTTGTGCTGTTATCTTCCTCTTTGTCTCTGATAACAGGGACAAGGCTTGGTGCTTCCGCGCCACTCTCCTCCCCATCTCAGAGATATCGCACGTTCCATCTGGCCAGATGGAGGCCTTACCCATTCACACATCCGTTCCCCGCGCACTCCCTTCCTGGGAACAGCAACTGTGTATCACCTCAAAGCTGCTTTAATATTACAGCTCATTGTTTAAGATGTAAGCTGAACTTTGGGGGGACAATATTCTCCCATTCCCACAATTTCTGTTATTTTTCCACACAGGGCCCTGCTCCCAAACTTGAGGGTGAGTGTGCCACCTGGTCCCCAGTTCCCAGGGCGGCATCTTGACCCCAGGCAGGGAGCAGTGCATGGCTGCTCCGGCTGCTCTAGAGGATACGGGAGCCCTTGGCAGCCCCACAGGCAGCGTGCAGGCATGGGCATACAAGAAATACTCTGGCATGACAGGCACACTGCCCCGGGATCAGGAGCTTCAGGACACGTGTGCTCACCTAGCCCCGCTCCCACACTGCTCCCAGCCCCGCCAGTTACCTCCCCGAAGGATGGCTGGGCCAGGCCTCTGGGATGCAGCAAGGGGATAGGGACAGAGACAGGATGGAGATGGGGGCAAAGCGCCTGGGCACAGGGGTCTCCATGCTCCAGGTGGGCAGGAGGGGGTTGCTCTCCCCGGGGAAGGCAAGTCTTGTTCCTGCCTGCTTCTCTCCACAGGGCTCAGGCTGCTGGAGGCCTGAGTGGGGGCTGCCTGGGAA